AACGTGGGGACCGTTCATATTGAGATTGTATGGAGGCAACATTAGTGGGAGGAGAAAACGGTGCTTTTGTTCGGCTCACTTTGATAGAAAAAAAAACTTTGTTTGTTTTGGGTTTTTTTTCCCCCCCTGGGCCTTCAGTGCCTCGATGCCAGGGTCACCGTATATTATGGATAATTTTTTATTATTTTTTTTTTGGTAATATTTGTTCATCATCATTACTTAAATGAACCCGCATCGTGTGACACCCAGTTTACTTTGGGCTTGAACTTGTCGGCGGAAAAAATGAAATGATGAATGGTAAATTCACAAAGAGCTCAGTTTGTTTGACTATTGTGGTTTGATGTTTGAACGCCGCCCTGTTGTCATTCCGTAGGTAGCTACAGTATAACTAGCAATTAAAATCAGTCTTGTGTGTGTGTGTGTTCACATGTGTGTGTGTGTGTGCTCGTGTGTGTGTGTTCACATGTGTGTGTGTGTGTGGTGGTGTGTGTGTGTGTGGTGGTGTGTGTGTGTGTGCTCGTGTGTGTGTGTGTTTCCATGTCCAAGTTTCTGGCATACCACGGTGTGTTTTTATTATCCCAGTTATATAGTGCGTTGTGTCTTTTGGGACTGTACGTACAGTGCCAAAAGTCACAACGCACTATATAACTGGGATAATAAAAACACACCTTGGTATGCCAGAAACTTTGACATGGAAATGCAAACACACACACACACAGAGAGAGAGAGAGAGAGAGAGAGAGAGAGAGAGAGGAAATGAGGACAGGCACATATACTGTAATCACTCACGAGATAAACAAGTGGAGGGAGTTCAAGTCTTATATTTTTCATCAGGGATGTGCTAGGTCTATATTTAATGCGGCCAGCAGGGGAGACGGAGGTTCGTGAGCGGGAGAGTCCTCGCACTTCAGTCTCACGATGCAGACGTTGAGTGCACCTTTGTCTTCTTTCCATTTGTTCATACGAACACACACACACACACACACAGACACACACACACACACGTGTGTGTCTGTGCATATAAGTGCAGCACTGTCTGCCTGACTCGACACATTCTCCGTTCAGTCTCTCTCTGTCTTTCTCTGTCTCTCTTTCTCTTCTCCCCCTCCCTCTCTTTTTCCTCTCTCTTCAACACCCCCCCTCCCTCCCTCCCTCCCTCACACCCAGCC